GCGCGCGCCCAATGAGGATGACTCTGAGGTGTACCCAAGCCCCAAACTGTCCCCAGTCCCATTCTTCTGATTCTCACCATTTTAGATCATTTTGGCAGAGGCAACTTCCATTTAATAGGGATGATTGGATATCACGCATCAACCTAAAGGAAACATGTTTACTTTCACAGAACAGTTGAATATCCATCACGAAAACGGTTCTTGTGTTCTTTGACCTATTATTCCATTACTAAATATTTAGCCTTACGGAATAACTTTTCATCATAAAAAGTTAATGAGGACCTTTATTTATAAAATAAAACACTGCCAACCACTGAACTGTCCATCAGTAGGAGAGCAGCGAAGTGAATCACATCCTGCATCTGGGGCAGCAGTAACTTTAAAAATCATAATATGGGGAAAAATGTTCAATGTCACCTGTGAAGTGGGGAAAGGGCACATGTGTGAATCCAGTGACAGAAATATCCTGTGCAAAAAGTCAGAGGGCAAAGGAGATCAAGGTATTAACCCTGGTTCTTCTTAAATTAAGTACAATAGGGAATAAAGTAGTGCTAAAAAAAATTCTTTCTATACTGCTAACAAAGTAAAGGGCTGGGAATTGACATGTAAATGGCTTCTTACAAGGGATTTTAAAGTGCTTATTGACATTTTCTAGGGCTTTAACTATCTCAGCAATTTTTGTGGAGGAGGTACTAGGGATCGAACTCAGGACCCTGTACTTGCGAGGCAGATGCAGTACCACTGAGCTAAATCCCTGGCCCACAGCAAATGTTTTATGAGCAAACTCACTGAAGCCCTCGGGGTCCATCATCTGCTCAGACAAGTCTTCCTAGAGGATGCTTACCAAAGTCTATCCTGGGCACCCAGCAGATGATGATAAATAAAACAAGGCTCAACCGTGGGCATCAAGGAGAGTGACCCTCATGCTCATGTGGATTGAAATGCCAGATGGCACAGAACCAGGTGACAGATATGGAATTAAACAACCATGAGAGCCAGCAGCTGCAGTGAAATCACACACACTCAGCTCTCCACTGTATTCCGTCAGGGAACAGACTGCTCTTGGAGCCCACAGAGCGCCCCACACCCCTATGCCTGTTCTGTAGCAGTCAGCACAGTGAGTTTTCCTCACCAAGAAAATCAAAGCTGAATAAACAAATTTCCTTCTAAATATATTTTCACTGCTGCCGGTAATACCTAGTCCCTTAAATTATTCATGACGGTTCCCAGTTATTTATGACAGATTTGCGAACAGCATCTCAACACACACTGTCCTACTACTCTCAGAAACCATCCTCATCCCTTGGATCTTCTGTAAAATGTCTACAGATGGGCTTTATGTGCACAGAGGGGCAGCACTGGTTCCCTCCACAGGCAACAGGGATGGATCCCAGCTCCTGTGGCAGGTGAACAGGTATCACATCTCTGCTCTCCACTTCCCCATGTGAAGGCTTTCATCTACATTCCGGAAGGGCCAGCAAATCATTGCTGAATTCTTGCAGCCAAAAGAACGACTTCAGTGGCAATGAATTATACCCAGAAAGCCACCAGGATGAGAAAACCAAGCCCAAATCACCCAAAGCAGGGCCAGAACCACAGTCTCTTAGGTTTGCCAAAGAGAACCCAAGGGACCATGGAACTTCCCAGCCTAGTTCAAGCTTTGGAAAGATCTGGGAGAGATTGAACTAGCTACCTATCAGGCATCGCAAAAACACTTGCTGCGTGGGGATGCAGTTATGGGAGAGGCCACCACTAAAATTCTGAAACTCTAGAATCATGATAAATAGCCAGACTTCAGCCATCAAACCCAAGCCCCAGCTACCCACAGCCTGGTGCTCTGTTCTTAACCTTTCATCCTGATCACATCCTTTAATACCATTCAGTGAGGCAAGACCTTCCTGCCAAACCTACCAAACTAGTTATCTGAAGGAGAGTCCAAGAATCTTCTAGGGCTTGGCAAAACAAAAAGCCCCAAAAGAAAGGCACCTCCAGGGTAAAGAGCTGCAAGAGGAACTCTCCTGCTAGCGCAAGTCCTTCCCTGGACAGGTCCTTGTTGAGTGCGCATAGACCCTTTGACCAAAGACCAAATGCTTCCAGAGTGATGAGCTTATCTAGAAGAGCACCATCTGGCCCTGCTTCTGGTGACACAAAAAAAGGAGAAACTCACAAGGATCAGCACCCTTTCTGACTACACAGCCTACTCCAAGAATCCTACAGCATTCTCCAAGGAAGAAGGGTGTTCAGAGGACAAAATGCTGGGTGTCTAGAAAATTAGCCAAAAGGAATTCTTTTTGACATCTTAGTCTCAGTGGGTTTAAGTTTGAGGCAATAGTACTCATAATCCATTGCTACCTCACTCGACTGGCTGGTGTTTCTCCACTTACCAGGACCGGCCGCATCTCACAGAAAACTAGAAGGGAAGCCAGCTCGATGTCCTCACTGTACCCATTCTTGAGAGGAACAGATCGAAACCCTGAAGCAGAATTGAAAGAAACACAAAGGCAGGTGATTAATATCAGACCTTAGCTTTTTTGAGGTATCTAGGGATCTTATGTCATTCGAAGAGAGGTCAATGTACCCTATACTGGGGGCTTTCTTTCTGTAGACGGGTCCATCCTGAAAGTCAAGGAGAGCAGTGAGAAGCCTTTTGACAAATAGGTCCACATAGGCAGGGAGAGTAAAACTATCTGCCATCTAGAAATGAAAATGATTCACCTGGAAGAAATTTAAACCCACAGAAATTGCACACTGAACTTCTTGTAATTGCCATTGTGGTTCAATTCCTTAAACACTGGTAAGGCCAAAAGATTTAAAGGAGTAATGAATCCTCACACTAATTTCCTCCACTTAGGACCAGGGGGGATATTAAATCATGAAAGATTTCCATTCTCCCTGTCCTTGGCAGTTGGGTAGATTCCATCATCTGCCTCTAGAAGGCATTCATTCTTTACAATTAGGACTGGTTTTTAAATATTTCTCTCTACTGGGTTGAGAGGGGGTAAACTGAGGCAAAAATCTCTTCTGGCCCCATTAAATAAAATATAACATGTCTGAAAGACAGGTTTGTTTGCTTGTTTTAATTAGGTAGTATAGAAGAGTGCAGAGTACAAAATAGGACGCTCCGTCCCACCCAGGCATACTCCCTAACCTAAACTCATTGTCAACAGTGTCTTTCCCAAGATACTCTATATCTTAGCCATCTACTCTAAGACCCTGATTGGTCTTGAAAGCTTTTTTTCTTACATTGTACCTACTGCTTCTCCAGGAGGAGCAATGCCCAAAATATGGAACCCTCAGTATTTCCTGTGTCTTCCTCCATTCCAGTCATGGCTCCTTTGTCTTGTACAAAAGTTTCTCTGTCCACTGATTTACCACCTCTAAACAGTGTCTGGGGAATCTCTGCCTTTCCTCTGCTTATGGTGAGGAAAGTGGCCCACCTACACAACCCCAAACCTGTTCTTTTCTTCCCCAAATTGGGGTAAAGCTGTATTATATTTCTACTCAACACGCTGTATAATGTTTGCATTCCATTTCATAGCCACAGTTCTCCCATGAAGGAGAGCTGAATTATTATAAAACTTTTCAGATATGCAGCACAATGAGAAGACAGTGAACACTTGTATGCCCCCACCTAGAGTCTACCAGTAGCTTCTTTATCCACCCACTTTCTACTGAGTATGCCAGCATATTATGCCGGCCCATTATTCAGAGCCCAGTATTAGAGGGCATTGTTCCGCTTCTGATGTAAAATGTACACATAATGAACATATGAACTTCTGTTAACTTGTTGATGCCTTGTAGATATCTCAGTTAGTCAACTCCCGTCTTTTTTTTTTTTTTACCAAAATGAGCTCATGGGCCCTGCAATCCCTGCAATAGTAGATAGATCTACCCTTTGACTTTATAGTCAAGTGTCAGGTTGAATGGCATAAAACTTCACGGCTCTTTTTCTCGTAGGATTTGGGCAACGCTATTCTCATCGAGTGCTGCTGTAGAGAAATTTGCTGGGCTCTGTTGCCCTCTGGGTGATGTGGTTTTTGTTGGTGGTTTATGTGTGATTTGTTTTCTCCCTGAATGATCAGCACAGAATCCCTGCAGTCTAGCCCAGTGCTGCTCCAGCTTTCACATAGCTGCAACTCTGATGAAAATGCAGAGTCTGACTTTGGGCGTGAGATGCTGCATCTCCCAAGGGACAGTGAGGAAGTTGTCAGTTTTATATCCTGGGCCCTGGGAGGGAACCAGAATGCTCAGTGCTCTCTGAGAACCAGCAAGGCCATCCGGCAGCCTGTGCACCCATTGCCGTGCTTCCAGGCAGAGCAGGCTTGCCTGGCACTCAGCATGTGGCCTGAGCTCTGCCCCCAGAGCCAGCTGTCCCAGCACCAGGTACATCCTCACTGTCCACACCATGCTCATGCACCAGGCAGCCCTCTGTACAGCTGGAGTCGGGAATAGAAGGCATTTCTCCATAAGTAGAATTTTTATTCTTTTGGTTTATGGTTATTTCATGGAAGAAAAGAACAGAGACATCTTTAAAGATCCGTGTTTGGGGCATTCAGCACCCAGCTAAATAATAAGAGGCCTCAGGGACAGTGTGCTGCATGTCAAGAATGAGGTGGGGTGCTGGGGATTTAGTTCAGTGGTGCCACCGCCTGCCTTGCAAGTGCAAGGACCTGAGTTACATCCCCAGTACCAAAAAAAAAAAAAAATGAGGTGAGTCTCAGCTCTGGTCCCATGACAGTGTGACCTTGAACTGGTTATCTCACATCTCTAGGCCCCAAAGTGCTCTGATTTGAAAAGCAGAGATGAGAAAACCCCATCACAGGGATTACTGTGAGGATTAAAAGAGAAAAAGTTTTAAGGTATGTAACATGAATGTATTCTTCTTTGTTACCTTCCCGAGTCCCAGCCGGTCTGAAAGCTTAAGTGCATCACTTACTACAATGGGCAAAGTATCTTCAAGTTCAGGTGCCCTCGGTGTCATTGCACGAAGGGATTGTTCGTTTCATTTTGTTCTTCCCTTGAATAGGGATATACCATGTATTGCTAGGAGCTGGAAAGGTTAGCAAGAGGGTCCCTTCTGGGAGCATCTCACAGTTTGCAGGGGAGGTCCTATTTTTTCATCATCCTTCAAGTTTTGGTCTTTGCTTTCTTGAATCTTCAAGCTAAAGGTTATCTTCTAAAGGATCGACACACTTTGGTCAGTCAGGTGAAGGTTTCAACAACTCTGACCTCTTTACATGGCACTGGGATGGCTACAAGGCTCCTGCCCCCAGCCTTGGGGCAAGGGGAGGTCAGGGTAACAAGGATAAAAGGGTGGTCAGGAACCAGCAGGTATAGTTATCATAAAGTGAAATCCACTGTGGCATTCTGTAAAGATTTATCAAAAACTACACTTCTGCCATGTAAGAGGCACTGTCGTTCCTAAGACTTATTTATTACGCAAATCTAAAAGAAGCACACAGCAGATTAGAGAACGCTACTTCATTGCCAAGCTTAAAGCAGTTGTATTCGGCAAGGTAACCGGCAAGGGTTGCCAAATACCTGGCCTCTGGGACTTATAAATGAATGCTGTTAGTGTTAAATTATGAGAATGGATATTTCTAAAGTGCTGCAAAGAAATCAGAGAGTCTAAACATTTTCTGAAATTTTTGCTCGGCTTCCTCAATAGTAAGAGTGGCAGTCTGCGCCCGGCCTGCTTTTCTCAGTGCCACCCAAGGCCCATTGAAGGAGCTGACCAAAAACAGATCCTTGGGCCCTGCCTGGGCTAACTCAAAGCACCCATGGTAAGCCCAGGACCCTGAATGTTCTAACTTGGCTTCCCATCTTGTCTGCTACTCAAAAGCTACGCTAGTGTGCAGTTGGTGAAATGGTCAGATTTATGATACTAAATCAGGGAGAATTTCAGAGACTATTTGATATGATCCAAGTTAAAAATAAAAAAGTTTATCTTTGCATGGAGCTTAAGGTTTCTAAATAACATCAAAAAGACCATATTTTTATACAAATGACTAAAATAATAATAGTAATGTCTTTCTGTTGAAAAGTAATTCTTGGGAAACAAGGAAAGAGTGACCTCCTGAGGAATCTAGAAGCATCTATGATCTGATATCCAATGCATCCAAAATACCAAGGAGAAGGAAGAAACTCTACATTAAAGTGGTGGCCCGTCAAATGTCAATCCAGTGGGAAAAGAAATTAGGGAAACCACCACCTCCCAAGGACCACTACCTTCACAGAGTGACATCCTGACAGGTGCCTGCTCCTGGGGCTCCTGGGTCACAAAGCCTCTCACCTGAAGGCACTACTCAGCCATGTGGAAGGGCCATGCACCTGGATCCCACAGGTCAGCCATAGGATCCAGGTTCTTAGCAGCTGGTCACATGAAGCAAAATAACCCTCTCAAACCATGATGGAAGAGTACCGGGGATAGCTCAGTGGCATCATGCCTGTCTTGCAAGCACAAGGTCATGAGTTCCATCCCCAGTATGGAAAAAAAAATATGACGGAAGAAAATCATAATTCAAGATAGTAAATCAACCCTCCAAATTGTTTAGAGGATGCAGAATTTTGAAGGCTTAGGACAGTAGAATGCAAGGCTATAGCTCCCACCAGTTGGTAAAATCTTCACCTTATTACAGTGCCAGTCCAGAGGAAAGGGAGATCAAACCACACTTACACCTGTCTGGGAAGGGGCAAACCTCTGTTTACCTTTCAAATGAAATCATACTACAATGCCAGGGTGATGATCCAGAAACAGTCCAGTTTACAAACAGACATCTGATTTCCAAGGGAGTAGCAGGTCCTCATCTTTCAACCACCTGTGTGCTAAATATGCAGCTGCTTGGGCCATGGTTCTCTAAGCCATCCTGTTGGTGTTGCCGTGATTTAATCAAAACCAAGAAAAATGCTGTTTTGTTCTTTTTAAATCCAGCAACACGGAACAAAGAGCGATGCTCACCAAAATAGAGTATCCTAATTAAAATACCTCTTACCTGATTTGATCCCTTTAATGGGGTAAGTCGCGTGAGCGAGGAAGTTGGGATCACTGAATATGTCTTCCTCATAAACTACAAAGCGCAGAAACGAGTTTTGGGTAAGAGAGTCTGTGTTCATCCCGCCTCTCCCTGTAACCTAATCTCAGCATCCTTCAGTTTTGAGGCCCTTAGCAACCATGTTGATAAACAAGCATCTATGCCAAGATACAAGAATGTCTGAGGTTTCTCTTTTCCTTGCCCAGTGAAAGCTGCCACTGCAAGCTTGGCCCACAGGAAGCCGTGGAAGGGACCCCCACATCGTGCCTACACCTCTCGTCTCACATTCTGGGATGAGAGAGTCAGAGCAGGAATCAGGGGGGTACAGAAGCTATCAAGGAAAAGTACACAGTAACCCCAAGCCTGGGCCTGAAGAACATGTTCTAGAGTTGTCCAGGGACCCAGCCTCATAGAGGAAGACACACAGCAAACTGCCACTTCCAGAAAGGCCCACTGGTCAGTGCCTGAGCTGTCCCTGGGCTGTTTCTGACCAGGAGCGGCCATTCTGTGCCCTAACAGGTCCCCAGCTCATGGACCCTTCCTGCTCCTTTTGTCTTTCCTGACCCAGGGGGCCAAGGCCAACCCATTCTTCTGAGTCAGCTGGAGCACATGCCCCTACTCTGGGTGTGTGCTGCAACTCAGCAGCTGTATCAGGTCTGGACTGTGGTGCGCAACAACCACACTAGTGCTATGTGCAGGGAGCAAAACTCTTGCCTCAGGCTCCTAACTTGAGTGACAGACAGCAGAGGGTACAAGTCCAGTGTATCCCATCTCCAAGCTGAACCACAGTGGACAAGAGGGGTCACTGAAAAAGCCTGGGCGACAAGAGTACACTCCAAAATCTCCAAAGATAGCAGCCCACATCGGATTCCACCCGCTCTGCATTTAGAAGAAAGAGCTGAGGCTACTTACTCACAACTGTTGTCTTGAACTTGTTGTTGTCATATTCCGCCCCACAAATTTCCACCTCTACAAAGGGACAAGCAATACTTCGTCCGGGCTTGGGGAGGTGGCGGGCACCAAGGACCTAGGACATGGATGGTTAAGTATTGGGGTTCTCCTGTCCCACAGAGCACAAAGAGCACAGCAGCAGGGGTTAGACTCAAGGAAATCAAAGCCAGCCTTGTGACCTGGAGAGGCTGGTAACCTGTGCTGTGGGTTCTGAGAGGTCCATCCTCTGACAGATGAGGAAATGGGGTTCCGTCGTGGTGGGGTCTCATAGGTCTAGCCCTGTGCTATCTGACTCAACAGGTAGGTCTCCCCTGAGCCCTTGGGCCTGAGTACTCATGCCCCGGCAGCACCTGCTGAGACATGGCACCACATTCCTGGATCTCCCAGAACCGGGAAGGGGACAGAACATAAGCGATCTTGCTGTGACTTGTCTTTTTTCAAGAAAGACCTTTGCTTGCACATGCCCTCTTTTTGAATCCCACGAGAAATGCATTTCATCTCTCTACTTTGTAAAACCTCTTAGCACATTCTATGAATACTGGATTAACTTAAAAAAGCTTTGACCCCCCCCACCAAAAAAAAACTGGCCAAAGGGCAGACAAACACTCCTCTGTTAAGACCAAGGGCCATTTCTGTGTTTTTTTCTCAGTCTTCCTGGCCTGAGGCCAATCTTACACGGACCCCAAAGACACAGACGGATACCTCACACTGCAGATGACAGGGGCAGGAACCAGGATGGTCAGAGAAGTTCCCTCTCTTTCCCTTTCCCCTGGAATGATCTACAGGTACTTGACTAAAGGTCCTAAGAGGTTGTCAGGATGTTGATGGTTTACAAGTGTTGCTGCCCTAGGCAGCGTGTGTGGCCCTCCCCCAGGAAGCATGTCCACCTCTACCTTGATGGTGAGTGTCATCTGGATCTTGCGCTGTGACTCTGGTGGCATTGGCTCATACTTCCCCGTCCGCATGATCTCAGGTTGCAGGACATAGCCTGTCCGCCCATTGAGTGAAAATAGTGCGTGATTCAGCTGCATGTACTTGTCTGGAAGCAGAGTGAGGTCTGTGAGGCCGACTCAAGGGCGCTGAGGGGTGTGCATCCGGGTACCTGGGTTCCCTATGATCATTTGGACAACTGGGCAAGTAGTATCTGACCCAAAGAAAATATGGGGTTTGGAATAAACAATCTCAAATGGGAAACCTTTCCAAATATAACACAAAATCTATAACCATAAAAGATGAAAAACAACAACAGCAACAATCAGAGTTAGTGGCACAGACCTATATAGTCTCAGCACTCTGGGAGGCTGAACAAGGAGGGTAAGTTCAAGCCCAGCCTCAGTAATTCACCAAAACCTTATCTCAAAACATCAAAAAATGTTTTGGGATGTAGCTAAGTGCTACTAAGGTTTAATCCCTTAGTTCCACCAAAAGAAATAACTAAGCCAATCAAGCCAACCAAGTAACTCAACCTAAGTAACTAAAATGATTGACTAACTTAACTAAAATGTCTACATAGAAAAAAAACTGCATAAAAAATAGATCTTTTTAGTTAAATTATACACATACATACATATACATTTTAAACCTCTTAAGTGCTATGATAAATGCTTGCTGTAAAAAACTGACCACATTAGATAAATCGGGTAAGATGCATGAAGTCTGCAGAAAAAAACACCGCAGATGCTCCCTAAATAAGCAAAAACTAGACTAGGTTAATATCACTCCTAAGAAAATGAAAAGCTCTAAAACTAGAGTCTAATAACAGTTTTCACTTAACAGAGAGGCCGGTGGTGGTGAACCTATGGTACACATGCCACAGTGGGCTGTTTGTATTAGTAACAGCCCTAAAAGGTTTGCCATCACTGAGATGGGCAAAGATTGAAAAGCTCAATAAAACCAGGGAGTGAGGTTACCCTAAGAGCCTATTCCGGGTTCGCCCAGTTGGTGTTCTCACACAATCTCTAGGTGGTGCTCTTTGACCAGTGTCTGCCCAGGCAGTTTGCAGAAATGCAAGCAATATGTGACCACCCTGCCCTTCTGAGACCTCTGTCCAGATGTTCAGGTGCAAGCTCCAGGAGGTAGCACGTGTGTAAGAGCCTGTGATGGGAAGTGACCTAGATGTGTCAGATAGATGACGGTACACTCATGGAATTGCACATGGCTTCAAAAATAATGTAGGGGAGGCCTTAAATACAAAAGTACAGAGCACTGTGATTTATCTCCCTAAGTTTGAATGTGTTAGTTTTCCCCAATACCTAAATATTTCTGGAGTCTTAGATGGAGCCCTCAAAGAGAAATAGACAGGAGGCCCCAAGATACCTAACACCTGGATCCAGCTGAGACTGAAACTATGAATTAATTCCCAGGCTTGCAATTACACCATCTAATGTGTCGCTCCTAAAGGAGACTGACTCAGTCTGTCACTGGTACCCACATAACTACATTCAAGTTCCTTTACCTGCAGTCTGGAAATTGAGCGCCACCATCTGGGAACCACACAGCCACAGACGAAAGGGATCATAGTTTGAAGAGTCAACCCTCTGTCCTTTCGGGTAGACGCGGGTCAGGCCCTTCTGATTATACCTCAAGAGATCCTCGGGCTTCTGTCTGATGATGCTGTCAGCCTTTGTCTCCACAAAGGAGCGGATTTCTCGGAAGTTGGGGTTCTCTGCACATAGAGAGGCGAGTCACCCTGTATTCTGTGCAGGTCTCCTCCATGCTTCTGCAGTGGTGGATGCTCAGGTTGGGAAAGGGAACCAGGAATCTCTCTTGACAAGACATCAGGGCTTGTGACCATGATGTCACAATTGGTACCACTGTGGATGTCTGCCCTTGGTGGTGGGAGGGTGCAGGGCGGGTCTCATACACTAAAAAGGGACCCAGCTTTCCCACAGCCTTTCAGTATAGACATACTATAACTTACTGTTTACAACTACTGTCATCTTTACACCGGAAAACACCAAAGTGGTACAGTTTTAGAATGAGGTGATGTCTTAGGCAAAAGCAGGAAGGTGGAGATCTTGGGAGTGAAGATGCAGAGAACAGATCAGCACCCTTAGCAATGATGCTAGAGATACCAGAATGAACCCAGAATCCTGGAGAAGTGGGAACCAACTGCCAGTGCCCACAGGAAGACATATGATCGGGGGCAAGGGCTTTGCCTGCATGAAGCCTCACTTCCATCTAGCTGTGGTGGGCAGCTGAGCGATAACCACACCTACCCTAGCTGGGTCCCATCCTGAGTGTCAGCATCTTCTGCTAAATGTCAAGGGGCCCAGGGACCCAGCTCTCAGGGTTAACAGTGGGATTTAGTACTATTCGTTTGGGATTGAGATCAAAGAGAGTTGCTCCAAAGCCCCAAAGAAGTAAAATATGAAAAGCATCATTAAAGAACTTGCTACTTTGGAAGATGTGGTAGAAGATCCACTTTTTACTCCCTTTGTGGTAGGCTAATGGTTCCCAAAACTATCAGTCAGGTCCTAAGGCCCCAAACATATGAATATGCTACATTAGATGGTGAAAGGGACTTTGCACATATGATTTAATTAAAGCATTTGAAATAGGGAGATTAACCTGGATTATCCAGATGGACCTACTGTGATCAAAGTGTGTTTATAATAGAAAGAAGAGATCATGGCCATGAGCCCACCCAGGAAGACAATGGAGTGGAAGGGGCACAAGCCAAAAGTCTGACAGCCACCAGAAGGTGGAAGAAGCAAGGAACAGATTCCTCTGGAGCCTCTGTGTTATGGCTTGTATCTAGATGTCCCCCTCTAGCCTTATGCAGCCATAGGTGGGGACCTTGGGGGATGGTTGGATTATAGTGTGGGATACTAGATGAGGTTGTGTGATAATTACATTGGTTTAGGATAATTCGTTTAGCATACTTCTGGGTGTGGATAATAGAAGTCCCACCCTGGGTATGGGTAGCAACAGTCAGAAGGCTTGTAGCCTGGATGGAATAAAAGGGAACAGTGGAAGGCAGGCTCCTGATGCTTACTGCCTTCTTGCTTACCCTGCCGTGAACTGTCGTCTTCTCTGTGATGCCCCTCTACTGTGCCACCCTGCCTTGGAGCCAGCCTACTATGAATTGAAACCTCTACTAACTCTGAGCTAAAATACACATTTCCTCTTCAACTTTGGGTGTCAGGTATTTTGTCTCACCTACAAGAGAAGTAACTAAAAGACTCTGGAAGGAGCACAGCACTGCTCACACCTCGATTTGGAACTAGATACTGAATTCAGCCTTCTGGCCTCTGGGATTGAGAGAATAAATGTGTGCTGTTTCCAGCCTCCAAGGAGGTAGTCATTTGTTACAGCAGCCATAGGAAGCCAGTCCTCCCTCTAATTGGGTTTTACCCCTGGGACACCAAAAGGGCCCTGTGGACAAACTCAAGCCGAGGTTTCTGCCAAGCAGTTGAGCTAAGAATGAGCAGGCAAACACTCACTGTGCTCTCTCTTGACATCAGACTCAAAAGGAGATAGTTCACCACAGATGGGGACAGGGTCACGGGGAAAGGTTACCTAAATCGTCCTTGGTTTTGCTGGTTGGTTTGCAGTAGACAACCAGGTCAGAGAGCTCAATGGCGATTGACTGGTTCTTCTCCCAGTACTTCATGTTGTTCTCCTGTGGAAACCCACCTTGATTAGTCAGCCCTCAGGCCGGCCCCTGAGTGACCCCACAGTCCTGCATCCCTCACCCTTGCACACTCAGACCTTGCAGAACCAAATCTTTTCCTGTTCTGAAGATAACCTTGCCTTCCTTTCTCTCTCCTTCCTCCCACTGTTCACAGTCTCCACCAGGTTGTTTCCACCCACGTCTGGTGTCTGGCTCAGTCTTGGCCATGGTTCTCAAAAGTAGATGGGGACCAGGATGGCAGAAGAGGAGACTTTTTTCATCTTGCTTAACCCTCTGCTCTCTGTCTCCCACCCTGTCCTCTCCCCTAAAACCGCAGTCATCAAATTCCAGTCCTGCAAACCTCGCAGCCCTGTAGAACAATGCACTTCACTCCCTATGCCACTGAGATGTGAGTAGCCTCCTTTTTCCTCTGACTCTGCCCATTGCTGCATGGTCCAGAAGGCCCAGACATGAACTCAAAGGTGCTTTCCCTTTGAGCAATCTCACCTTCTCACCTTCCCCCACAGCAGGACCAGCCTTTCACTCGGATCCTTGAGAGAATAGATGACAACCTTCACCATTTGGAAAATGCTCAGCACCAGGCATCATATGCTATGTGCTGGATGTATAGTGGCTAGGTTGTCCCACATTTTCACTGAGGTGCAGTTTACCTCCATTATACATAGAGAAATAGAGTATCTAACCCTAAACCTCACAGCCAGTCCATGTCAAGATCAGATTCTTCCATTACTGGCCCGATGCACAGTCCCTCCTCTTTCCCTACCTGTCGTGTATTATACTCGGCATTGCCCTTTACTCACTAGCAGCCACCAGTTCCTAGAGAAGATTTCAGTAGAATGCCTCCTGCATTCAGTGCCAGAACTCATACTCTGTGTGGCCTGAGCCACAGCAGGAACCTCTGGGCTGCTTGTTCACTGCCCATACGCTCCTCTGTGGGCCCACTGGAGTGCCATACTGGATCCCCACACCATCACTCTTTGGGAGGTGCCTGGAGACTCCAGCCAGGACTGAGAAAGGGGTAGTGAAGCCTTCAGGTCTCACCTAGCCTCAACAGAGTTCTGCCTTGCTCAGTCCTTCATCAGCTGTCCTAAACTAATGCCACTTAATGCTAATGCTACAACCTTGCCCCCACGAAGAGATCCCCTTGCACAGGAAGACACTGAAGGAAGCAAGTATGACAGGATCAGTGGTGATTTAGTTTGAGGTGACATAACAAGGGGGTTAGGATCGTAGGACTTGGAATCAAACATACAACTGACAAGTTACAGGGCTTCACTGTTTTTTTTGTTTTTTAACCTCAGCAGAAGAGAGTATCAGTTCAGGATAAAATGCCAGTTGCTTCCAAACTGCTACATGGTTACCCTCCTGCCCTGTTGATGTTGCCCTTTGGGCCAACACAGAACATGAAGCCATATGTTCTTGGTTAGTCTTCGGAAACTCACTGACTAGATGGATGTGAGTGACTGGTCTTTGCCATTAAGGTAGCTGGACACTGAAAACACAGGCCTCAGCAGGTACTCAGTGCATGTAGAACATGCCAGGGAGAAGTGGTAACCAGAAGTACAAAATGGAATTTTAAAAGTTAGATTTTCTGCCAGGCGTGGTGGTGCATACCTCTAATCCCAGCCCAGGAGGCTGAGGCAAGAGAATCACTGTGAGTTCAAGACCACCGTGGGCTACATAGTTCCAGGTCAGTCTCAAAAAGAACATTTTTTTTCTTTTAGCAATAAGTGATGTCTCCATACTTGTGGCTGGCTCACCATGTTACTGGCCATATAGGTTCATACATTAGCATTTGTTTGCTCACTGCTGACCAAAGTAAAAGAGGCCATTTATTTTGGTAAAAAGGAGAAAGAATTTATCCAAAGTCAGCACTGAGGAGATGGAGGGGCCTATTTGCCACATATCACTCTCTCCTCCAAGCTAGCTTTCAATAAAAGCCTGGCAGCAAGCTGACCACTTACCTCATGACAGGTCCCAAAGATAGCACACAGGACCTTCCCCCTTCCCCCCACAGCAGCTCCTCTCTCAGGGCGGATATGCCTGGAGCAGGAACTCAGTCACCTTTGCTGATCTCTGTCTTTAATCCTCAAAAGCAGTAAGAGGACCTTGAAAAGGGTTCTCATGACATCTTACCAAATGGAAAAACCAGTTAAGGAGGAATATCAATCAAAGGAAGCAAGAAACCACCTTCAACTTCTGAGTTTAATTTCTGAAACCTTCGTGCAACAGGAGAGGAGATGGTGAGCAGAGAACCTTCAAGTGCAGTGACATTCCTCCCCGTGAAGGGAGGTGGACAGTGCCAGGATGCAGCAGGCAGAGGGTATCCATCAACACCCAGCCTGCACCCTCCATGCCCTTTCTCACTGGGGGGTGACCAGCAGTAAGGTCCACAGGGACCATGCTAAGGGCTTGCTCACTATTGGTTTTCTCCATTCCCAGCTAGAAGGACCCAGAATCTCAACAGCTAGAGCATGCTCAGGAGGGTCATGTGCATCGAGGGGTGCCGTACAGATGGTGATGCCAGCTGCCCAACTGGCAATGAGGACACACCTAGAAGTCAAGGAGGGTGAATTCTGCAAAGGAAGCTCAGGGCAGGGGCATCCCCTCACGTGCCTCATCAGATCTACACTCCCTCAGAAGTGCCAGGAGGCAGGCGACACATCCCCGGCAAGGAAAGCAGAACAAACGCCCTGTGGACCACAATCTCATGGTCCACTCCAGGTGGCTCTGATGATGGGACAAGCCATGGAAGAACTGGGAGCTCCAAGTGAGGACCGGACTAGACCTGGGGATGGGGTAGCGGTGACAGGCCTCACCAAGGATGGCCCTTTGACAGGCTCTCTGTAGGATCTGGCATGGACAGGCACTCCAGACATGGAGTGTCACTGCACACTGAGCCTTCGATGCTTGGACTAGGCCCAGCTTTCTGGGGGGCCTTGGCACCCGCTTCCTCCACCTATATACCTCCTACCATCTATATCCATATTTCTTCCTCTTGGAATTCTGTGCAGCAGAATTCCTGGCCCTGCTCCTCCCGCCGCCTGGATCACCACAGTCCCAAAAGAGCTCCAAGACCCAGGAGAGGATGCCAGGCCCGCCTGTGCCCAGGTGAACAGTGGCTCACCTTGGTGTCGATCTTCCAGGTGATCTGCCGGATGCTCTGAAACCACTCAAAGAGCTCCTCCACCCTGTCCGTGGCAAATTCCACCGGAGGGTCACCCTGCTTCTTGGGCTCCAGGATGAAGACAAAAGGCTTCTGGTTTTTCCCCTGTGGGGCTTTCACTTTGGGAGAGGATAAGAAAAGCCCCGGTCAGCTTAGTAGAAGCCAACAGACACCAGCCATTTCTCATGAACCAACCCAGGCCTCCATCACTACAATTACGGTCAGTGCCACCTGGGTGGTCCCCTTTCCATTGGCCAGCGTTTGACTTCACACACGTGACCATTTATGGTCTCAGAGGGCTGAGTGGTGTCCTCTCAAAGATAAGTCCCCAGTCCTTGTGACTGTGACCTTATTTAGAAATAGGATTTTGCAGATGTACCTAAGGATTTTGAGACATCCCGGATGCTGAGGAAACCCAAAATCCAGGGACTGCTGTCCTCATAAGAAAGAGGACAGGGACCATGGAGACACAGACATGGGAGAAAGCCACATAGGTAGTGTGGAATGATACAGCCATGCAGTGAGACACACTGAGATTCTAGCCATCAGCAGAAGCCAGGAGTAGGATATGGAATGGGTTCTCTATACACAGAGCAAACAGTTATGTAAAAAAAATTAAGGTTACAGAAGGAAAGTCATCTAATCAAATTATTAGCTGAGATTTCTGAGCTCTTCATTGCTGGCGCAGTGTTCTAAGCAGACCACAGGCTATGTCTGTCTTGGTCCTGCCTCTGCCTTACTAGTTACTCATGTACTTTTCAGTAGTTAAAGTGGAGGCTGGTAGAGAAAGTAACACTTGGGAGGTGACACAATTCTTAGTGTCAAAGCTGAGGAGAAATCAAACTTGATGATGACTCCCTATCACCAGGCCACCTGCTTCTGCTCTGGAACTACAGAGAGAGGATCAACAAAAAATGAAATATAAAGTAAGAGTCCTGAATCCCCAGTCCTAGCACATCTGGGGACCTTCCAGGGACCTCAGGCAGGAACCATGGCAACTTTTGAGCTCAGTTTTGCTCATCTATTAATTAGAACAAAAGAAAAAAATCTCTTATCTATCCTGCTTGATTGCTGTAAGGAAAAACAACAGAATGGGCAATAAAAGTAAAAAGCAAAGCGTGGGCAGTGTAAGTAGGTAGGTTCTCAAGACTTGGGTCGTCCAAGCTCTAGAGGACCAGGTGCAGGGTTCCCCAGGAGAATCTCAGGAGTACAGGCCCAGGTTCAGAGAGGACAAGCTGCCTGCCCTTCTTGCCCTGAACTTTCTCTTATTTCTGCCATCCCCTCTTGTGGGTTGTGATGCTTGCAGTGCAAGCTCTAGACTTAAGCAGCCTGGTACAGTCACAGCCCTGTACTCCCACACAGTCTGTGCTCCAGCCATGCCTGCACTTCTCCCTCCCTCAGGGTCCGACATGGCCAGACTGGGAAGCTGAGGTTCACAGAGAGGTGACCAGGACATGGTCTCATAGTGACTAAGATGCAGAGCTGGGCAGAGAAGCTGAGACACCCAAATCCTGGTGCCACCCACCCAATGTCTTGGCACTTCCCAAAGCATGGGAAACAAAGGCAAAGCTCTGAAGTGATAGCCATGATGCTGGTAACAACACCAACAAATTGTCATCGGGTGCCGGCTGTGCACCAGACCAGGCTGTATACCACATTTTAGAGCTGAGCAGCAGACTAACATCATCATCCTCCAACCTGGCCCAGAATGTTTTGTTCGGCTGGTGAAGGAGCTGGGTCAGAGTCTGGGCTGGGCAGGCTCTGGGCTTGGTGGGAATCAGGTTTAGATTGTGTGCACGTACTGACGTTGTAAGTGTTGAGGTCCAGTATTCCTCTGCAAAGAGAACCTAGGGGGTTATCTTCGATAATCTGTGAAGAAACAAGACATAACTCATGGGGTCATACTGCGAATAATGAAAGAACAGCCCGTTTCCAAGCATACTGCTTAGCAGAGACTCCCTGTGGAACTGTTTAAACTGCATTTTCTACAGTCTTCATCCATTGGGAGAGGGCCAAATAACAATGCTTGGAGATGATGGGGCCGGATTGGTGAGCAGGTGTCCACAGGCTTATTATTTCATTGTTGCTCCATAAAACCATGGCCTGTCCAGGGCAGGTCTCAAAATATGCCCTAGACCAGTGATGGTGAACCTTTTGGACAACCGAGTGCCCAAACTGCACCCCAAGAACCATTATTTAATTGCCAACACTGCAATTAAACCTGAATACTGAGGTTTTAGTTGAGGAAAATCTGCTGGGGCAACTGCTGTCGAGCTGACAGGGCTCTGCTTGCCCTCTGAGGCATACGTGTCATATGTGTGCCACTACTGCTCTAGACATACAGCTGAATTACCATGAAACAGGGACTGTGTGGCCTGGGACATATCAGCTCAAGAGCGCTCTGGCTGCTTCTCTCCTGTGAACAAACAATGATGTTCTGCAGTTTTGTTCTTAGGTTTTCCCAGGCCCAGCAGCCTTTGCAGCTGAGATGGAGAGTTCGGTGGCGTCAGGACAGCTAGCCAGATTCTGCCCCCTCCTCTGTTGACACCACACACCATCCTCTGCTAGGCTGATGCTGATATGCAGGTAAGGACAGTGGGTACAGACACAGCCGTGCCTATCTGCAGTCCTTCCACCACGCCTTCACTTAGACTGTACCTCCCACCTGCAATCCCTCTGCTCTGCTATTGTCCTCCAACTTGGCTTCTAATCTCAAATAACCTTTCCGCCATGGATCCCTCCCAGACGGTCCCACTTCTTTAGGAAATAGATGCTAAAGGGACCCAAAGTCATCGTGTTATGGCTTGTATCTAGATGTTTTTCTAAAGCCTTATGTGGTTATAGGTGGAGCTCTTAGTATATGTGCTGCCGAAGTGAGCACAGGTGGAGCTCTTTTAGATGTGGCTGGAGCGAGAGTGTGTGATTGCTTTATGGTGTAATACTAAGATTAAAGGTGGGTAATTATTCAATTGGTTTATTAATTGTTTAGGCACTGCCTTAATCTCAGTAGCCTGGATATAAGAGACAGAAAGAGGCACTTTTCTTGTTTCTTGTTTTGCTACCTTCTGCCCTCCATGAACTGTTTCTCCTCTGCAGTGCCTATCTGCCATGCCACCCTGCCTTGGAGCCAGCCGATTATGTGTAAACTGTAAGCCAAATAACCTTTTTTTTTAAACTTTGGGTGTCAGGTATTTTGTCTTAACAATGAGAAAAGTAACTAACACAAAAGTTAGCACTGAGAGTAGAGTCATTGCTGTAACTATACCTAATCATGGGGCTTTAAAACTTGCTTGTAAAAGCATTTAAAAAGATTCAAAGATGTCAGCTTAAAAAAACAGCTCTGGGCCAGGGATTTAGCTCAGCAGCACCACACCTGCCTTGTAAGCACAAGGTCCTGAGTTCGATCCCTAGCACCAAAAGAAAAGAAAAGAACAGCCCTAAAAGTATTTAGGCTATACTTGGTTTAAAAAAAAAAATCTGGTCAGAGCTCAAAAGACCGAAATGTTGATAAAAATGATGACAATAAAGATCAGGCTCAAAAGGTTGCTACAAAAAAAAAAAAAAAAGACTTCATTGACACCAGACAGTATTTGTTATGCCTTGGCAAAGAGTTTGTTTACCTTTTGCTCATGTTCAAAAAACTCTGCCTTACATTAAGATTAAGGACCACAGACAAACCTGACAAAAACAATTTCAAGGCAGTCTAATGTTAAGGCCATGGCATATATACTATAAAGGGCTTTTAGCCAGATTTATGTTAAAAATAAAAAACAAAGAGCCCAACAAAATGATTTTAAATGCTTTAAATTTGACCCCACCCCATCCCCAAAAAACCTCTAGTAAAGTTACATACTACAAAAATGAAACAAACAAAAAACCCTAAAGGCATCACAAAAAAACTGGACTCCACCTTTGGAGCCTCAGGTTGCAAAGGTAAAAAACTTAACTTACAAAACAAAACAGCCTCAAAAGCACCATGTTCCAGAATGGCAAGAGCCTAAAAAAAATTGTTCCTCGAGATTTAGTTCATAGACACGAAACCTCTACAGCTAAAAAAAAAAAAAAAAAGGCCTGGCTACTGCTCCAATTGACAGTAAACCTTGACATCCATATGGTGCTAGTTTTAGAAACATACAAAATACAAAAGTTGTGCGGTCAAAAAGGCTTCCACCCAGATTTCAAAGAAAGGCTAAGAGGCCAAACATTATGCCCGTAAAAAGACAGTGTATAGCCAGGCGTGGTGGCACTTGCCTGTAATCCCAACACTTGGGAGGCTGAGGCAGGAGGATCTCTGTGAGTTTGCGACCAGCCTGGGCTACATGAGTTTCAGATCAGTCTCAGCTACATAGTGAGACCCTGTCTCAAAGAAAAAAAGCAAAACCATAAAACCAAAGATACAATAGAGTCCCCAAAAGTTTAAAAAAGCAAAAAACGTAGACTGTCTGAAAAAACTATAAAAACAAAAACAAAAACAAAAAACTCTCAAAAGTGCCCCCACAAACTGTAAGGGCTACAGCCACCAATAGTGCCATAAAGGCAAAGCCACACAAACCCTTTACAGTTCACAGCTCACTACACATTGCCTCAGATAATACACATAAAACCACAAGGCTTAATATTTTCCCTGCTGGATTTTAGGTTTGCTTTGATCCCATTCCTTTAAATCTCCCTATTTACAGCTTTAAAAATAATAATCTTGTGCTATGACATGTTAAAAGTGCTTAGCTTTGTTTTCGTTTATACAGGGATTTATAACTCAGTTTGCCTTAAATCTCAGAAAGAACGTTAGATTTAAACTTTTCAACACTGCTAAAAGTATTAAGACTTTACCATAGACTTAAACATAGCCTAAATGCCTTTTACATTTAAAAATATACATAAATCTTTGGGGCAGAATGTTAATGGTTTATGTCTAAATTTCCCCTCAAATCCTCATGCAGTCATAGGTGGGGCTTTTTCAGAGGCAGCTGGATCGAGTGTGTGATTGATTTATGGAGCAATTTTAAGACTAAGGGTGCTAGGATTAAGGGTGGGTGATTCCTGAATCCACTGATTGGCTTGGCATCACCCTACTCCCGGTAGCCTGGATACAATGTAAGAGATAGAAAAAGGCTTGTCATGTCTCTTGCTTGTTTTGCTACCTTCTGCCCACCTTGAACTGTTTCTGTTTCTCCTCTGCAGTGCCTCTCTGCCATGCAACCCTACCTTGGAGCCAGCCAGTTGTGGACTGGAACCTCTACAAAATGTAAGCAGAATAAACCGTTTTTCTTTTAACTTTGGGTGTTGGGTGTTTTGTGTCAGCATTGAGAAAACTCACGAACACACCTCATTACAAAGAGTCATCCCTGGTGCAGAGCGGTCATGGTGAAAATGACTGCTCACCGAGCCTTCTGGGTAAAAGGCAGCTGGGGATAGAAACCTGGTTGCAGAGTCCCCAGAAAGGCCTGGTGTCACCAGTGAGGCCCTTCGCTTCCTCACACCACACACCTTCTGAGCGTCTGGCTGTCCAAACCCTGTGTGTCTCATTTGCAAGCTGCTTTGAGCAAAGGACAAATTCCCATTTGACCATTTTGCTCTGGTGGGAATTCTCCCTCGTACTTTCTCTCGCCTTCCAGCCCAACAGTCTGATTAACACATGACTGGCTTGTCATGGTGACTTTGGCCCACAACAACTTGGTGACATTCCCAATTTCCATGTCACTGTCTACTCTGCTCTGGAAAGCCTCAGAGACCACAACTTGTAAGTGTTAAAATTCACCCCTTCCCCATGGCTCAGGGGACCCCAAAACAGCCCCGGCAGGTCCTTCCTAAGAACGTGAGCGGTGAGACTCACCTGCTTTTCCAGCTCCTCCCCTTCTACCGTGGAAATGTCCTCCACGTAGTTGGATGGGAAGTACTGCTGGATTCGGGTGCCATAGTCTCCTTTCCACCTGGTGGGAGAGAGGGCATTAAAGTCCTAGCAGTGCTGCTCAGAGCCCCAGCTGCTGGCTCGGTGCCAATGAGGAAAAAGTGCCCAAGTGGCCAGATGACCAGGGGGACGCGTGCCTGGTGCTACTCAGCCAGGCACCACTCTTGCACCTTTCTCACGGAGCTCAACCCAAGACACAGTCAGCCCACGGCTGCCTCAACACCACCGAATGTGGGCCCTACCCACTCCCCACACCCACTCTTGGCAGACCCTTTTCCTCCTTCCAACCTGTCCATCTCGTGAGCCCCTCTCTGCAGCCAAAAGCACCTGTGACCGAGCCCTGGACGGCTCCTGAGCCTCCAGGACCCAGACTCTAGCAGGCGATCCCGGCCCGGCATGCTCTGACCGAGGACTGCAGAACTCAAATGTTGCCTTTGCTCCACACTACTCCCTGCCCTTGCCAGGCTGCCTGGCTCCCTTCCTGTCCGCCTTCCTCCTACTGACCACTGAAGAGTGTGCCTGTTTCCTTCTGCAGGACATCTTCCCTGACTGCTAGTGGGGCTGGGTGCTCCTCCTCAGTGCTTCTCATTGTCCTGGTCCTGGGCCTTTCAGAGCAGCCACGCCTTCCCCTGTGTGCAGCCTACAGCCTACCTTTTGTTTTGCCCCTTGTTTTTGAGTGAAGAGGAATTCTCTGGGGCCACATAATAAGATATCTAATACAGTTAACGTATATAAGTAGTAAAACTTCCTTTAAAATTTTTTTCATTATAACACTTTTTAAATGAAGGCAAAAAATCCCAAGCTGCTGCCTTATATCTAACTTGGAACTATACATCTGGCTCCCCTCTGCTTGAGACCTCCTTGATCTTCCTCATGGCTGTGCTGGGCGGAAGCACTTAACTGCTTGGCTGGAATAAGCTGAGCAAGGACTGATGATCAGTACCATTCGCCTAGTAATGTCACTGTCACTCCTTTCCACACCCCCTTCACCTTCCTTTCTCCTGACCTACCTCAGGCAAAGGCTGGCTGTGTTTACAGGGACCCTTTGCATTTGCCCAAGGTGGAGTGGTTTGTACCTGATACCCACATGTAATCACAGCATTTCTGTTCCTCTTGAAAGTCTTGGTGTGAAGAAAAAATGTTTGGTGTCCCTCCCTGTCTGTGTGGAACCCAGTTCTCCATGTTCTGATGCAGAAGCCCCACTAGGGGGTGCCGTCTGCACCAGAATGAGGATGATGAGGTGAGCTGCTTACGCCACTGTTCCCTTGACAAGGGAACTTACACTGGTGTCTTAGTTCAACCCAAGACAAAAGCCTGAGAAACTTGAGGAGCTGCCTATCAGAGGCATAGGAGGGCAGAAGGACACACCAGACAGCTGGGGGACTGGGAGTTGTTACAGGAGGGTCATGAGGGGGCAGTGGCAGCCTGGAGACCCACTTCTGGTTTTGCCAAGCAGAGAGGAGTAATCCTGGCGAAGCCAGGTCCTTGAATTGGGAGAAGCGGACGGACAAGACCATTGCTGGAAAACTGGGACTAGGGGCCAAACATGGAGGGCCAGGGACTCAGCAGGGACAGAGACACCAGCAGAGAGGCCACATGGGGCAGCCCCAACTTCCTGCTCCATCTGCAACAGAGAGCTATGACCTGCTTTGGAGTCTGGGACCCAGGGAAGAACAGCTCTGGGACAAGAAGGTTCTCCTGACTTTAAAGCAAGTTTAGAGTCCCTGGCGAGGGCCCCAGAAGGAGCATGGGAAAAGGCCCCCATGTAAATATAGTTACACTGTGGGCTCTGGGGTCAGAAGCCTGGGTTCAGATCTCAGTCTACTGTCTTACTTACCCTGGACAAGTTACTACACTTCTGTGTACCTCAGTTCCTCATCCATAAAGGCTTGTGTGTTCAGAGTGGAGCTTTGGGGGGTGATTGGATCATGAGGACTTCAACCCCATCGTGGATTTACTCATCGTTGTGTCCATAGTTTGGTGGCACTGGGACGTGACAGAAACTCAGGAGGGGGGGCCTGGTTGAAGGTAGTAGGTTATGGAGGTGTGGCTTAAGGGGCTACGTCTTGTCCCTGATCCTGTCCTCTCCTGCTTTCTCTGCTTCCCAGCTGCCTGGATGGGCCGCTTCCTCCTGTACCCTTCTGCTGGGATGTCTGCTGTCGACCACTAATTAAAGCTGAGCCAAATACATCTTTCCTCCTTTAAAGTGATTTGTGTCCAGGATTTTGTCCCAGCAACAGAAGATAACGCCCTGACCTCATCAGGTCATCAGGGGATTGAATAAGCTTCTAAAGGAAGTGCTTAGAACGGTACATGATATATCAAAGCTCAGCACGAGCTGCTGTCGAGATTTCTAAGTCTGGTTCAGTGACCTCGTGGGAGGAAGAAATGTGGTCTGGCCGGGTGCTGAAACCTCTGCCATGGTCATGGTTAATGCCAAGTTCTCACGGATCTCACACTCAGAATCTCTTGCCCGGGACCTCTTGACGGGCAGCAAATTTCTCTTCCAAGGTGAAGAAAGAGAAGAAGAGACTACTAGCAAATATGAGCAAACCCAGGCCCCTGTGCCCTGAAAATGTCCTTGCTTCCATGTAGGACGGGGCCCTGGACCGGAGCACATGACTAAGCAATAGTGTAAGAACTGGAATGGAAGGTAATGTGCAGCCTTGTGCCACGGGAGGAGCCTGCAGCCGTGTGACCCTGGAAAGCCCTGGTGGCCGCATCTGTGAAGTGGGGACAGTCACAGTCGCAACTCCTCAGATTTGGGTAGCTGTGCATGACAGCAATCCGCAGAGTGCTTGGGACACAGGAGCCCTCCGTGAACAGTGCTGCTGCAGCTGCTGAAGACACAGCACACGGTGATGCAGAACGTACGATATGTTCGCTATCAACGCTTTACCCTCTTTCCCTCATGGAGGACGCCCTGGGCCACCTTCCCAGGGACTCAGCACGACAGATCAACACCAGCCCAGGGGGGCTCAGAGCTGAGTCAGCACGTGTCACCAGCAGAAGAGGGAAATCAAGGCCACCAGCCCCAGGCAGCCTTACCAGCCCCCGGGTTCCTTGGATACGTTGTGGATGAGGGCGCCGCGGCAGAAGCTCAGCTCGTCACTGCGCTTGGCTTTGTAGTCATACAGAGCTTTCACAGTCCTCTGAGGCTTTCGGAGAAAACAGGAGGGAAAAGGTCAGGCAGGTGACAGGAGCCCAAGAAGCCAGCTGCAGTGCTAGAACCATTTTCTTGTCATTTGGGAGCTGGAGGTGGCAGATACTGGGGTTCCAGAGCTATCTGCTTATGAGGATCTGGCATTGCAGAGGAGCCAACCCCTCCACCACCACCACCACCCACCCCACCCCACCCCCGACAAAAATAAAGTTCAGACAGGGAGTAGGGATGCGAGTGGACTGGCCCGGTCAGCTGAGGACACTTGGGAGTGACAACACTGCTTGAGATACTCAACAAAGAAAGGATTTTCCTTTCAAATTAAGCCACAACCACCATCTCTGAAGTCGTCGGGGACTGTCATTCTCACCTCTGTCAGAGGTTCAAGGGCAGCTGTCCTGGCTGTGCCAGGGCTTTGCCACTATTCTGACCTAGGCCAGCTATCTGCTCAGCAAGACCCTGCATTCTGCAAGGGCAACTGAAGTAAGATTCATTATAGGTGGGCTCTGAGTGGGCAGGGAGAGAAAGAACATAACCAAGATAAAGCTTTTCTTCAACACCTGCCAGACAAGCATAAACCATGCCAAAATGCATACCCGTATGGCAAGAAAATATTCACAGAAGCCTCAAAAATCATCAGATTCCCAGGATCAGTGGCTTTCCTCTCGTCCTGCCCAAAGGAAATGGGAACAGGAATTCTTGGAGTCAGGTAAACTGCTCCTGAGATGGGCAACAGAATCAGACACAGGTTCAAATCACTGAACTGCTGGTTCCTGTGTAAGCTGAAGGTTTTCTGAGCCTCAGCTTCCCCATCTCTGAAATGGGGGTTAAAATTTTACATATTCCCCAGGACTGCTGAGACTATTGAGGTAATACATGTAATGACAAAAGGGACAAAGACATGAATTGCTTGTGTTCTCAACAAGGTCAAAGCCCAGCTGTAACCCTTTTTACCCACAGCATGTCCTGTACAACCACCTGGATAAGGAGGGAAGAGGTGATACCGCACCCATTTCAGGGATAAGGAAATGGGGTTATAAAGAAATGACACACCTTTCCCAAGGTGACACAGGTGGTGAGTAGCCCAGCTCAGAACTGAATTAGTTAACATGACTTGTCCCTATAGTTTACAATGTTCCACTGAAACCACTATGCGTTTTCTGCTGTGGGAACTTCCAAGTTGAACCCCTCAACCTCTGCCCTCCCTTTTCTCCTCTACATGCAGAAGGGATGGATTCTACCCAGGATGGACACAAAGATGAAAGCCTGTCTCTATGCCCCAGGCTCGGACAGCTGGTGGCAGAGGGGGTTCCAAACATAGTAGGCAGACCTTCTGCAAGGAGAAAGTCTCCAGCCTATCAGATGGCAAGAGATGTCCTCGTAAGGTGCAGTAACAACCCTCCCATCAGATCACCAAGTGGCCATGGGGCATAGTCAGTTGACCAAGAGGACACACCCCAGAGCCAGCCTGCCTCTGTCCAGACCCAGCTCCACACCACAGCTGTCCTTCGTAATTATTTGACCTCCATATATCTGAATCTCCCCATCTGTACAGTAGGTGCCAAAACAGGACCTGCTTTGTGGAACTGCAGGAAGATTAATTAGCTAACTATGGCCAAGTGCTTAGAACAGTGCCAGTTGCGTGGCCACTAACACAGGGTACCTGTTATCATTGGTCTGCTCCTTCCAGTTCTAAGAACTGAGAGGGGAAACGCAAAAGATCCCCAGAACCTTGTGCATGAAGAAGTTCCTTTCAGTATTAACTAGGAGAGCAAACCTAGGGCTGACCCAATGGCCGTCGACAGGGAAATAGCCAAGCTGGCCGTCACCAGAATGTTCTTCAGCATTAAAGCCATGTTAAAATCCCAGTCTCTGCACCTCATCCGGATCACCCAGCGTACCAGGAGTGACAAAACAGCCATGAAAATCCCCAGGGGGGAAGACTACAGGGACAAAGCAGCAAGAAACAGAGCAGGGTAAAAACGGCAGGTAGGGGGCAGTGAGGACCAGCAGACAAGGAAGACCCCAAAATGCACCAGCTACCCTTAGGGATGGCAAGGCCACGGCCGATTCTTTTTTCCTTTTTCCGATGTGCTTTCGGTAATTGTTACTGCACTTCTCAAAACAAGAGTAGTAATTTTACTTTGAGGTCCTCATTCTACCCTGGCAGCATAACAGCAAGCTCAGCATAGGCTCACGTTGTAAGGGGCCTGCTTGGTTTATACAGGAAGGTTTATTCTACAGCTCGGTTTAACAATTCTCGTGTTAGGCGATTTCACATAAAACATTCAGATTTCTAGCTTATGCTGAGAAGGTAGAAGACCTGGCCTGTCCTCTCAGAAGTTAATACCAGCTGAGGGCATCTACCCTTGAGGTGGAGGACTGTCCCTCAGATGATCATGGTCACCCATACCCTGCCACCAGCTGACATACCACTGAATACCAGCTGCCACTTGTCACCAAACTTTAACTCTTTTTGTAATGTTGTGGCTGAATCGAGAGACTGAGAAATATTTCTCTTTTGTGAATGGCTCAACTCACCTGTGTTATCTGCCTGACCTTCAGGGACATTTGAGTTGGCAGCCTTGTTTTATGAAATTATGTTTAAAAGGAAAGAGAGACACAAAAGCAGTGCAAAATAAGCTCCAGATCCACTAGCCCATAAAGAGAAAGTCACGCAGTCTGCTTGACGTTCCTCTTGAGGGCCGCAGTTAAATCTGCAAAACCCCTGTCTGGGGAAGAGGTGGCCTTGTCATTACCCAAACTGCTTACTTATAATAAAATATTTTACTACTAGCAAGTGCCCTTCCCACACAATTTAAGGGTTCATTTTTTGCTGAAGATTTGCATTGGATAAGGACTATAAATTTTAAAGAACATTGTGTCTAATTTCAATAGGGCCCCCTGCTAAGTGAGTGCTGTATACTAATCAGAGGCCAGACAGAAAATGTCCTTATACTGCTGGCTCAGACTAAGCTTGAGATAAAACTGCAGCAAGGAGGAGCTGGAGGCTAAAAGCAAAATCCATCCCTACCTGCGGGAAACTTCAGGACAGAGGCAAAGTAGGAATCTGGGATAACATTTGCATCACACGGAAGTCGGTGAACCAGATAGAATTTATAAACACCGCAGGCTCAGTCAGCGAGTGAAAAATATACAGAAGACTTTTGATTGTAAGCCATTTGGGCTGATACTGGTTCATCAAACCTGAGAGTTGTAGCAGAACACAGCTGCATTTGGATGGAATTCTGTTAACCTTTTCCGTGAAACTGTATTTACTATAATTGCCAGTCATTTCTCCTTTTAAAAAAATTTTTTTAGCCAAACTTTCTAGAATGTTCTCTTGCTTTGCTATAATTGCTACGGGGGAAAGGGGCCGGGCCTGGAATCCACATTAATCTCATGATGATAAGGATCGGCACCGTACCATAGAAGGGTTGATCTCACTTGGATCCACATACATCCTGCTGACGTCATAGAGGGAGTTTATGTCTCTTTCCTGAAAAAAGAACAAAGAGGTAAATGGAACAGCCTATCTTCCTGAAACAAACAGCCCTTGTACCCAGCATAGCTGCAGGTCTTCCAGTTCCTTGTCTTTAGGTACAAGGCCTAAAAACCTCATGAATTTTCTGTGACCCATGGCTAGACAGTAAGAAGCAGTAAAGAAGTTTCCCCAAATTTACAAACAACCCCAAGTCAGGAAGGCCCCTATGCTGGCCTGCTGAGAACCAGACACTGTCTATTCCTCTGGGAAAACATAAACCCAAAGCTGCCATCATATCCTAGAGCCCACTGTGTGCCTCTCTTGTTGACTCTGCTACATTCAGACAGCACGCAGAAACTTGCAATGCCACAAAGCCACTGTAGCAGTAGTCACACCCAGAAACTGGCAAGTGCCACCCACCAGGGCCTTTCCCCAGGAATGTCACCAGTACCCTGCTGCTAAAGCTGCCACTCCCGCCTCTGTCCTCTCTCCCCCCCCCTTTCCCCGGTGCCTTCCTGTTACCCTGCAGGGTCACGCCAGCCCACTCCTACAACCAGCTGCTCCTCCCTTCTCACTTCCCCAAGGCCTCTCCCCTTCCATCCTCTAATGGTGGCCTTTTCTGACCACCCCAATGTACTGTGGTGCCCCCTTATCTCAGGCTACCCATCCCTGTTTCTCCCCTGGAATTCCTGCTGCCCAAAAATACTCCTCTTATGTCACTGCATTCTTTCTCCTCTCTGGGTCCTGACTCTCCCAGGGCAAATGAGAAATGAGAACCATGTTCTGGCATATGGTCAAGGCCCAACAAATCTCTTCAATAAACGAATGCGTTCATCTGATAGGAAGTGAGACACAGTAACTATATCAGGTCTCCTCTTCTAATAGTATATTGGGCCCCCTTTGGACCTGCAGCCTTACTTAGCTCTACCCCCACTAATTCAGCCATTCCAGCTTCCAGGTTGGGCCTTGAGGCAGTCTCCCTCTCACCTAAGGACCTTTGCACCTGCTGTCTTCCTCTAGAAGGCTACAGGGCTTACTCCTCAGTGAGATCTTCCCAAGCCTCTTGAAAAATGCAACATTTCCCCCATCATTCTAGATCTGTTTATCCCCCTTCCCGTTTTTTTCCTTAGCACTTATTACCATCTTCCACTTAACAATGCTATTTTCTTATTTCTTTCTTTCGTACTATTTTCTTATTTAATCCTCTTCTCCCCAAGCTATACTAAGTACCATGTAAGCAGGATCTGTGTCCACTGCATCCAGTTTTGTATCCCCAGGACCTGGAGCAAAGCCTTATACACAGCAAGTACTCATTAAAAGTTTGCCCAATGAAGGAACCAAGCCAAGGGCACAGAACCACCTACCATATTATAGCGCTCCAGGAGCTCAGGGGTCACAGGGTAGCGCAGCCGCATCTTTCGGTAGAGGGTGTGTTTCTCGTAGTAACTGACTAGCTCCACCAAGCTCTCGAAATAGGCAGACGTTCCCAGAACAAAGTGATGGCCATCCCGGTTAATGCGACAGTGCTTCACCTTGCCCCTGGCCCTGGATAGGGAAACCACATCGGGTGACATGCCGAGATTCTAGTGGCCATGGAATTGCTATACAAGCTCTGCCCATCAGACACAACCTAATTACCCATTGTGAGGAAGTAGGAGGATAAAGAGTGCAGTCCTCCTCTGGAACACAAAACAGCATTTAAAAAATGTGGCCTTTTCAAAGCAGATCTGGATGAGCCAGTATCTCAGACTCAAGGCCAGTTCCTCCCTAAGGACAGGACTTGACTGGGAACATCATAGGCATCTAGAACAGGGCTGGCAAACTATGGCCCTAAGCCAGATCTTGCTCACGGTGTATTTTTGTAAATAAAGTTGTACTGAAATAACCACCATTCGTTGATTTTACAGAGTGACCTTTTTCTCCCTAACACAACAGAACTGCATGGTTGGAACAGAGACCATGTGACCTGTAAAGCCTAACCTATTTGCCTATTGGCCTTCCCAGAAAAGATCTGCTGATCACTACTCTAGAACTCTGACCAGGGATTCCAAAATCCTTAAATTTTGCCTTCCATGGCCAGACATGGTAGTAATGAAATTGGTTTTCTAAAAGGAAATGAGGTCAAGCATTTGGCAAGGTGGTGCGCCTACCTGTAATCTCAGCTGAGACAGAAGGATCGAAAGTTCAAGTTCAGCCAGGCAAATTAGTGAGACCCTGTCTTAAATTTTAGGAAATAAAAAAGGCTGAGGATGTAGCTCAGTGGCATAGCACTTGCTTAGCATTCGTGAGGCCTTCAGTTCAATCCTCAGTACAGAAAAAGAGAGAGGGGGAGGGAAGAAAAAAAGGAAAGGAAATGAGTCATTTTGAGAGAAGAGGAAGGACCAAAAAAAGAACAGAATACTCACATATACGGACCATAAGTTATGTTAAAAGTTTAAGGTGATGGATATGCTGAGTTAATCACAACTCAATGTATAAATGAATCAAAACATCACGCTGTACTTCAAAAATATGCACAAATATGTATCAACTTAAACAGTCCTTAAGAAGAACTGAAGAAACTTGGCAAGTTCAAAGAGGAAATGACCCAAAAAGATAATGCAACCAACATACAAACTGACCAATTTAAATACAGGAGAAACAAATAAAAATTGGAAGAGTGGACCAAAATTAACATGAATGACAAATTTATCAGACAGACACTATAAAAATGTGCCAGACAGAAATACAGAAGATAAAAAGTATAGAATTCATGAATTGTAGAATGTGAAGATAAGGTTTCTAAACTTGAGGATAAAATGGAAAATCCTGACAAATTACTCAGAGAAGTCTTAAAAATGTTAAGAAAAACTCATTCAACAGCTAATTAAATGGCACTAAAAAGACTAAGGATAATTAGAAACTAGACATCGCACAATAAAAAAATCTTTCTAGAAATCATAAAATGTTCCAAGTATGAGGAAAGATTTCAACATACAGGTTAGGCTTACAGAAAACCAATTAACTGATGGAAAAAAAAAAGCTCCCAGAGCCAGGGATTTAGCTTAGTGGTTCTCCTACCTGGCTTGCAAGTGCAAGGACCTAAATTCAATCCCCAGTACCAAAACAAACAACCCTCCCAAAAAAACAAACAAAAAAGCTCCCCACAACACATCATATTCAAAACAGATGTCCAACAAAAAGACAATCTTAAAAACTCAGAAAAGCAGAACATCATGTATAAAGTAAATCCATTAAGAATACGGCAGACTTCTCAACACAAATTTTAAAGGCTAGGAGAGCTTGCAGTGAAGTATTTCCAGCTCTTAAAATCAACTTCCAGTTCTGATTAATGTCCTGCAAATTTATCTTTCAGAATTGATGAAGAAATAAGGACATTCCATTACAAGAACAACTGAAGAGACACATGAACCCAAACCAGCACTCAAAAAAAAAAAAAAATCCCAGAGTCAATGAAGTTAACAAAGCACCCCCACCAAATCAAATGAGATGAAACTATCAAGCAAGGAAAATAATTTTAAAAGTATAGGAGCTATCAACAGAAAAAGAACACAATGACAAATTAATACTCAGTAATCATAACTCTATGAAAATGGCCTCAACTCCCCAGTTAAAAGACACAGATTGGCAGACTGCATGAAAAAACCAGAATCCAAAGCCGGGTTTGGTGGCATATGCCTGTAGCACTAGGGAGGCTAAGGCAGGAGGATCGCTGTGAGTTCGAGACCAGCCTGAGATACATAGTGAGTTCCAGGTCAGTCTCAACTACATAGTGAGACCCTGTCTCTAAAAAAAAAAAAAAAAAAAAAAAAAAAAAAAAAAGAATCCAGGTACGAGATCCCAGTGATGAATGTAACTACTATATACCTAAAATGTACCAATAAACTCAATGAGGAAAAAAAGATCCAACAGTCTACTGCATTCAGGAAACTTGTCTAATCCAAAAAGAAGTTCATAGACTAAAAATCAAACAGGTTCAACCCCAGCCTCTTCTGTGTGCTTCTTTCTGTAAAGTACTCCCCACTGTGCGTCAGTCTCTACCTTGGAAAAGCACAGATAATGCAAATGCCACAGTACTGTGTGTGTCGGAGCCTACCGGTATGGGCTGCTTTGGCTGTCACTGCTCTTGTCACACTGCTGACATCCAAAGCTCCACCCTCACTCTCACATTTGTCCCTCCTATGCCTCCTCCAGCAAGTGTATGTCCCTGTGTGGTGCCTACCTGAAGGTGATGGCGTAGGAGTCCTCTATGCCTTCATGCTTCTTTTCCCGCTTCCGGATGAGGAAGGCTCCATCTCGGGGTATCCTCATCAGCATGTCCTCCGCCTCTCCACGGCTCAGCCCGTCGTAGTACCACCTGCACCCAGGCAGGAAAATGGCCAGGTAAGAGCCCTTGAGGCTGCCAGAAGCCACTACAGGAGACAGAACAGTGGGCTCCAGGGATAACTGGGACTTGGCCCTGGAAACAGCCATAGAAGTCGCCGGCAGACCTGCCCAGCTGAGATGGTGGTTTCTTTTCTTTTCTTTCTTTTTTGGTACCAGGGATCAAACTCAGGTCCTTGCACTTGCGAGGCAGGCAGCGGAACCACTGAGCTAAATCCCCAGCCCCAGAGATGGTGGTTCCTGAAAAGAACACTAGGAGACCAAGTGGATCTGGGTAGAGCCCAGGGAATAAATCCCCTTAGCCTCACCCATTTATGCCACCAGTGCTTTGCAGGCCACCTCCAAGGGGCCTATTCCCATCTTTGAGGAAATGGAGGTGAACACACCCAAATTTAGAAGGCATTTTTTCGTTTTTAGTTATTAAGACATAAAATAGCACATTTATAGCAATCCATATGAAAATGTAAAAAGTTGCTGTAAGGCATTTGGCTTCCTTCAATGTGCAAATTTTAGTGATCTGCTTCCAAATTATTCATTTCCACAATGGATTGACCTTCAGCAAAGCATAACTTGATACACGCTTCACTGTGTAAAGAAATGAAGGATGGGGCTGGAGATTTAGCTCAGTGGTTCTGCTGCCTGCCTCTTAAGCACACGGACCCCAATTTGATCCCTGGTATCAAAAAAGAAAAAGGGAGTACTCTTGCTATCATTTTCTTTTCCTTTTTCTCTGTCAAATAAATCGGAAGGCGCTGACAATCAGA